TACGCGGGAAAGGGAAAAAAAGGCTAATTTTGTTGTTATACGCGTCTAAGCTCAGTCGTCCTAAGCATTGACTCGCATCGCTTTCATTTATTTTTAAACCATACAAGGTTAAATATTTGTCCATAGGGTTAATTAAGTCATAGTTTTGATCAATCAAGACAATTTCTCTTGAGTTTTCGCGATAGATTTTTCTTAAAATTAAGACTCTAGGTTTGGCCCTTGCTCGTACATTAATATGATGAAAACCTTCAGTTACAGAAAAATTTGATGCCGACAAACTAGTTTTTACCACCAATTTGAAAACAAAAATTCAAATGAACAGCACTGATATTGGATTAAATTTCAAAGGAGGGGAAACTACACAAATGACCTTTTTTTTCCCTCTTATCAAAAATAAACTTATCTGTTTTTTAGTCAACTTCAACCAAATTTGAAAAAAAAATTCCTTGGATAGAGTAGTGAAATTATGCTTTAAATTAATTCATCAAAGGTGATTAAAATTCATGTCAAATTTTAAATTTTGGTTTGCAAATTAGGAGTCAAGTAATTGCACTTCCTATTTTTCTGGGATGAAACTGTTATGCAATTATGCTTTTAAGCTAATACTTATCATATAAGTGAAGGACGACATAGGTCCTGTTTGAATCATCCGGACTAGCCCTCCGGAATCTTACTATTTAGAAGTATTAAACGTAGATTACTGACAAAACCAATTTCATAACCCTTAGGCTATTTTCCGAGACAAATCTAACGAGGTATATTAATCCATGATTTGCTACCGTGATGCTACAGTAATCATCCGCTAAACATAGATTAATATATCTCATTAGATTCGTCTCGGAAAATAGCCTAAGGGTTATGAAATTGGTTTTATCAGTAATCTACGTTTAATACTTCTAAATAGCAAGATTCCGGATGGCTATTTAATAGCCCAGAGGATCCAAATAAGGCCATAGTAATGTCACTCAGGGTATATAAGGGATAATACAATCAACTAACAATAAGGGTATAGATGGGATAAAAATAAAAACTCAGGGTATATAAGGGATAAGACAATTCAAAACTTAGGGGCACATATGGAATTTTCATAGTTTTCAAAATGATTTTATTTTAATTAATTTAATTTCATTTCCAAACTATAGACAATATTTCTGGATTTAATATTGAACTGAGAGTAAATATCAAAATGCAAATATTTTTATTTTACTATTTAATATGGATTTTTCAGTTATTCTTCAATTATATTAGCCATGTACCTTTTTTTTATGACAGAAGCATAACTTCTAGTTTCTATATCATATTTGTATAGATGAGGATTTGAACCCACCAATTTATGAGCAGAGTCATGCAACAACAACTCTAATACCACGCCACTGCATTGGTGCATTCAAAATAATTTCACTTCAAATTCAAGATGATTCGCTACTCCTTTTATTTCATATTATAAGTCGTATAATTTTTTTGTCAGCCAAACTTCCAAGTTTGTAGAAAAGTATACGAATATTTTCAATAAAAATAAACATATTATCATAATATATTTAATATTAAATTTAATGAAACTAATTTGGTGTCGTAGATGTTGCTAATCTTTTCTACAATAAACTTGGTCAAATTTAAAGAAATTTTAAGAAAAAAGTCAAACGACTTCTAGTACGAACCGAATAGAGTATTATTTTTTTGTATGTGGAGCCCATTGTTTTGCATTTAGACCATGACACCATGTACCTTTGAAAAAGGATAAGATCTGTGAAGCTTGTCTCAATTAAGTTCAAAAGCATCACAGGTAGTTTAAACTTAGAAACAAAAAGCAAAGGACGTTTGCTCTGAAAAAAAAATCTGAAGCAAAGGATGTTAGGAAAAAGAAGAAAAGGAGAGAGCTATCACGCCGTGTGCCGTCGTACTATCAGATCCACTTGCGTAATAACCTATGATTAACCCCACCATTAGCACCATTTCGCCGCATACAAGCAGCTGCTAAAAGTTGGGTTAGCCGCACGCACTACACCACACCACCGCTCATGCATGCATGCCCCTACTTGCACCATATATATAATTAATTATATTGATGGATTATCTCCTCTAATCAAAGTGAAAAATATGTACTCCCTCTATTTTATAAATGTACGATACCATTGGCATTTTAACAGCGTTTGATCATTCATCTTATTCAAAATCTTTTACAAATATAGAAATATTTAAATCATACTTAAAAAACATTTGATAATAAATCAAGTCACAACAAAATAAAAAATAATTACTTAAGTTTTTTTAATAGGATGAATGATAAAACTTATCTAAAAAAGTGAATGACGTAATATATTGAAAATCGGAGGGAATATATATTTACAGTTGATTGATCGACAAGCCGCAGGGGAAAAGAAAAACAACTTTTTTTCTTAAGAGAAAAATAAATTTACATGCTGTTGTATGATTGTAAAAATACATAATTACTAGCTTCCATGGTCGTCTCAATCTGGTGCAAATGGTTAATTAACTCGTCTAAAAAAGTTAAATAACTACCTAATCCAACAATCTTTTTATCTAGGATTTTCAAAAAATAGGATAACATCCACACCTCAAATAATGGTCTTATATATCTGAGCTAAAGTGATATAACTAATTAAGAGCATTTCTAACAATCGTGCCCCTATGTTTATAGGACGACATAAAAATACCTCCAGCTCCAAGCAACCGTTCGAAATTATTTTTCTCTTATGTTTCAACATGAACGCCATATTCATGTAACTAAAATAACGCAGACACGTACACACACTACTTACAACAAAAGTATTTCCAGGCGGGCAAAAATGGCCTTCCTAGGCGGGCCGGCATTCCGCCTGTAGACAATCATTTGGAAAAATAGAATATCTTCCCAGGCAGGCGACCGGTCCGCTTGGGAAAATGTTTTTCCCAGGCGGCTGGGACCTAGTCCTATCCGCCTGGAAAGATTAGAAAAGCCCACCCGAAATGATATGATAGGATCGCTTGGGAAAATAGCACCAAAAATTGAAATAGCTGCAAATTTTATATTAATATTTTTTAATAATGTTGTAATTAATTAATTAATTCATAAGTAATGATAGTAAGTAATGAACATTCGATAATGACATGTATTGCATTCAAAGTATTATACGAAAAATTTGTACATTAATTTATATTGTTCACTTCAAATACACACTGCCAAATGTAACTAATAAACACGTCGTGGCATCACGTTACTCTACTCCCGAAGGGCCTTGAATTCATGGCTTATAGCCAGGATGCTGTCTGGGTCGAAGAACTTGTCTAAGACATGACAACACTCGCGGTGGATGAAGTGGCAGAGGTCCCGCTGTACATTTTTAATGCTCGTACACCTGCCTAAAAACTAGTACAAAAGCAGAAATGACATGGATGAAATTAAACTTGATGCTGAACCTTCTGGTATAAACACACGGAGGAACAAGAGATTAAGTGATTAACACATACGAGAGGCAAGATGATGGACACACCCACAGGATCGCCTTGCCGATCGATGGCACGCCGTCCGACCAGGTCGATGGAGACCCAGAAGCCGGCCAACAACTAATGCCATAGAAAAATTTTACAGCCTAGAGACAAACATATTTGAAAAAATTTTAGATATATATTTTCAAACCATAGAGTTTCCCGGATGGTTATGGATCCACCCCTGGCAACAGGACAAGTCATCTAGATGGAGAGTAAAAAGTCGCGCGAGGACGAAGCTGATGAACCTCGTCTTTTTTTTTCTTAACCTGAAAAACAACTAGTATGTACAACTAAAGTTGCATTTAGGGTTATTATATCCTTGTTAGTATTGATTTCAAATGAAAGTTATCAGTGGTAAATAAGAAAAAGTTGTACAAGAATATCTGGAATGGCTTCATTGCCTTTAATAATTGACAATGACAATCAAGAAAAGAAAAAAAAAGATAACATTTCTAGGTGTTCACAAACTCACGAAGAGTGTCGACAAGTTTGCAACAACATGTATTTGAAATCGGAGAAAGTACTCTCTCTATACTAAAATAATTTTTTTTTAAATTTTATCATTTGTTCTAAAATAAATTTACTTTTATCACCTTATTTACCCTAATTGATGCACCAATTGAAAGCTTATTATTTAAATATCTCTTACCTACCTATCCACTAATATACTATACTTTCTTATTAACTAGATAATGTATCGCACTTTGCTATGAGATATATGTTAGTTATTGAAGATACAATAAAATAATTTGGATTGAAATATTATGAAAATGATTTGAGAATGATGATTTAGCATGTGTATGTTTAGTTTTAGAATGAAATAAGTTGTAGATATAATTACTACGTGCTTGCATGTTGAACTTTGTGTGTTTTATAGGTTGATGTGGCATGCTTGCATGCAGATTTTAGGAGTGCTAATAAATACTCCCTATATTTGCATGTTGAGTTTTAGGTGTTTAGTGGATATTAGCTTTATACAAAGAAGAGATAAAGAGCACTTCGTTTTTTTCCTCTGATAATTTGAAATCCATTGGCTAAAGATGAAGTTATTTTAGATGGAGGTAGTACTTTTTTTATCTGATAGTGCACTACATCTCTCTACCTTGTGCATTTGTTTTCATTCTTGTTTTTCATTCTTGTGGTCCTCTACATAAAAGATGTTACGTAGTCTCTATCGACACTAAGGATTTCTTTGGAGAAGCTTCTAGCAGCTACAACTATATTAAAAATCTCTAACTTTTTGCTATATATTTTGAATCTCTAGCTCCCTAAGCAGTATAGATTCTCGCTCCAAATTTTAAGAGTTAGTACATGTAAAATTTAGAAATAAACTAGTAGCTAAAAGCAGCGGAGCTTCGATCTCTCAAGATTCTCATAAGTTATTTCTTAGAATCTATAATTCCCCAAATATAGCATATATGTTTTTAGTAGATGGCTAAACTTATACTTTATGCCTCAAATTAAAACTCGTTAATTCTGTTGAGTATCTTTGTTGTTTGTTCTCCACTTGGTTTTGGTTAGCTAACTCCATATAAATACACATCCAAACACACCCACAAGACAGCAACCAACTCCAAGCTTGCTAACTAACAAAGCATCTTGAATTCCTCTTGACCAAGTAGTTAAGTAGCTAAGCTAATTAGTGGTCTAACTTTGAACACAACACAACAAAACACACACACATCATGGCCACGTCACTATCCTTGGCGCCCAAACCCGCCGCCGTCGCCGTCGCCGCCGCCGCCATCCCGAGGCTTGTTCCGCCGCCGTCTATCGACATGTCGGCGCTGTCGCCGCCGCCGCCGCTCGTCAGCGTCAGCAGGAGCATGGTAGCGAAGCACAAGGCCGTGGTTGTGATGGGCGCGACGGGGACGGGGAAGACGCGGCTCGCCGTCGACCTCGCGCTCCAGTTCGGCGGCGAGGTGATCAACGCCGACAAGCTGCAGCTGCACCGGGGGCTCGACGTGGCCACCAACAAGGCCACCGCCGACGAGCGCGCCGGCGTGCCGCACCACCTGATCGGGGTGGCGCACCCGGACGAGGAGTTCACGGCCGCGGACTTCCGCCGCGCCGCGTCGCGCGCCGCCGCCGCGGTCGCCGCGCGCGGCGCGCTGCCCATCATCGCCGGCGGCTCCAACTCCTACATCGAGGAGCTCGTCGACGGCGACCGCCGCGCGTTCCGCGACCGGTACGACTGCTGCTTCCTGTGGGTGGACGTGCAGCTCCCCGTGCTCCACGGCTTCGTCGGCCGCCGCGTCGACGACATGTGCGGCCGCGGGATGGTCGCCGAGATCGAGGCGGCGTTCGACCCGGACCGCACCGACTACTCCCGCGGCGTCTGGCGCGCCATCGGCGTGCCGGAGCTCGACGCGTACCTCCGCTCGTGCGCCGCCGCCGGCGGCGAGGAGGAACGCGCGCGGCTGCTGGCCAATGCCATCGAGGACATCAAGGCGAACACCCGCTGGCTGTCGTGCCGGCAGCGCGCCAAGATCGTGAGGCTAGACCGCCTATGGCGAATCCGCCGCGTGGACGCCACGGAGGCGTTCCGGCGGCGCGGCGGCGCCGCCAACGAGGCGTGGGAGCGGCACGTCGCCGCGCCGAGCATTGACACCGTGCGATCCTTCCTCCACGGCGAATTCACCACCGCCGCCGAAACTACGGCGGCGCCGGTGCCGCCACCGCCGTTCCTCCCCATGTTTGCTCTCGCCGCGGCGGGCGCCGGCGTCTAAGCTCAGCTCAGCTCGAAACGACAGTAAAAATTTTAAAAAACTTGCAGAGATGGATGGGGAGCTTAATAAGTGTGAAGTGAAGGTAATTAAGAAGAAATTAACCACTGTTTGATGTAATGACATTGATATTGACCAGGCCAAAAAAGGGAGAGAAAAAGAGCAGCAGATGTGGAGGAGTGTACCATCTGTGGACTGAGAGTGACCCTTCCGATTAGGGATGGACATTGGTCGATCCACAAGAACTTCTTGACCCACTCTGATTCAGCTAAATGAACTAATTTATACGATTGGAGTTTTGAAAATAAATTTAGTTCATATAGCTAAACTAGGATGGTTAAGGAGTATTCGTGGGTCGGCCCACTCTAACCCCTAGCTACTTTGGATCACAGGATTTTATGGCGGTATTTTCACTTTACAAATTAGTATGAGATCTTTATAAGGTTGTTGTGCATTGCATATGTAAATGCGATGGTCTAGTAGGGTATGAATGTCGGGCCTCTGTATGATTCTGTTGAGAGTGATTAATATTAGTTTTTCTTTGTTATTTATTTGAACTACAATAAAAAAATACGGTTGTGTGATTGAGCTAGTGTTACCCAACCTTCACCTTAATTCTGCTTATTCTGGATTGTTTATTCATCTTACTTGGAAATATTAATTTGTGAGTGAGATGATCTGATGATGAATGTAATAATTATTTGAGGTGATTGAGTATTGATCTTGTTATCTATATATTGTGTTTTGTATTATCAGATTATACAACTAGCTAGTTTTTTTTCAATTGATCGAGATATATAACTCCTATAGCTAGTTGACCTATATGGGAAGCTAGGCTAGCTAGCTTGTCTGTATTGCTAACATAAATGTGAATACATGATAATTACATGTTGATTGAAATAACTCTCAGATAAAGAAACTAATTAAATAAGCTAGTAGTGCACATGATTTTGATAATGAAGGCAAATTTGGCTAATGTGCACTGCGCTGGTTGATATTTTCTGATAGTAATCAAGAATATATTGGTGCTAGTGGGCACCATGAATTTGTGCCAGTTGCTAACACAAATGGATCGAGGCCAGCTAACAAGAATATATAAAACACCTGAGCTTCAACCTTAGTAGCATGCATGCAGTTGATTTAATTATCATCATTGTAATATCTTGTAATATGACCTTTTCAACTTAATCATGAAAAAAAATTCCTTCAAGAAACTAGTAAGTGACATCGTTGCACATCTGGAGAAGTCCATCGATCAACTTGAAGTGCATTCACAGTTGCACAAGCTAAATCTGAATTATGGTTCCTAGGCTAATATATAATTCGAAAATACCTTCTTTGAAAAAAAACTAACACAACTTTTGGTAAATATGAAAATGCATAGCATGGTATTAAAATTTTCAGAATATTCAATATTAAATTTATACCACTTCTTAACCAATTTAATTAGTTCTGCTGGTTTCATGAATATTTTTAGGCATATTCTGAGTGGATAAAAATATTAAAATCTAGGCAGTGATATAAAATAATTTATCAATAATATCGTTCATTAAATTAATAATTTTGCAGTGTGGAAGAAGGTGATGCTGTAATGCATGAGGAAAAATGGGTCCCCCTATCCTCCGGTAAGAAAATTCCTTAAGATAAAGCATCATATATAAATATGTTGATTTAGAAAATATAATAATTTTAAATTGTAGCCAATTATATACACATATCCGATACAAATTCTAACAATAATTATTAGGTTGGTAAAATGAATTCATCAGACATATATTAGCCGTCGGACATATGTTGTGGTTAGTTTATGTTTCAGTAAGCTTTTAAACAAAATAGGCGAATTCTAAGAGATTGCATGAAAACCACCTTTTTGAAACAAAGTAAAGCCTATAAACCACCTTAGCCCGATCGACATGTTCTAATGAATGAGCTATGGCTACAAATATATAACTGTTCTATTAGGAACCATATTCTGGAAATATATTAAATTAAGTTCCCTCTTTTACCTAGCTAGCATGGAATCACATCTAATAGTTATTCCCTTAAATTAAAGTAAGCAGGAGAGAAGATAAATGGAGAATCATAATTCAGAAATTCTCGTGTTACACGTACAAGATCTTAGTCCCAAAAACTTTTGGTATTAATTTCTCCAATGATTAAAGGGAAAAAAATATTTTTCCATGGGGGTCTAGAATGCATAACCACTTGAGATATAAAAAAACATTGACATTTAGTGAGAAAGAGATCGATGCAAAGCTTTGACCATCCATTATTTCTTCCAAATCTTTCTGTTCTTTCCAGGGGATGGTCCTAATTCATTTGCGCACCAGCTAGAAATGAATCACCAATATTATATAGAAAATTAGTTCAAATATAGTGGCTACTTTTGTTGTGCTCAACTGCTTTTGCAATATAATACCATATAAGTTTAGCAGTTAGGTACTTAAGGGCAAAAGATCTATTTACAACTTATTTGCTTTTAGCAGATAACTCACAAAATTTGTCAATTGGCAAGCATATATAGCTAGACTTCCTTTCTATATATAAGTTACAACCACTTGGGCTGTTTTCTCCAGGATTACAACAGTTACACACACTTTAAGATTGAATGGAGCATCAGCTGAAAATAACTGCAAATGGTAAGGTCTCTTGTGTCATATATTAACAGTTCTTACAAAGAGTCTGTTTAAATTTATTTATCGTTTTAGCTTTGTAGCAATCACTTGTTCTCCATAATTCAACTAACTATATATTAAAATTGTGGTCCATATATAGCTACAAATCATTTAGACGATGGCAGCATCTTAGTAATTTATAGAGTAAATTTCACAAAACTATAGGTATTTGCACAATCCATCATAAAACTACAGATTTAAGAACATGCCTCCAGAGCCGTCTCTAGAAATCTGGGGTCCAGAATGAAATGTAAATGGGGCCCTTAAATTGTGAAAATTTCATGTATAAATAAGCACATATTTTGTGTCAACTATATAATTTTAATGTGTTTTTACAATATTTAAAATACATCACATAAATATTAATACTAAAAGAGAGTAAAGGTAGTACTGACCTCATATTCTATTAAAAAGCATCACCCGTCTAGTGTTTTTTGAAATGAAATCATTAATTATATCATCATAATTAAGATAATTATCCAAGGCATCATTTTCAACACCCAAATCATACTTATTATTTCTAGAAGACATGCCGATGAGAGGAAATAAATGTCTTCCTGTTTTATAAACAAAAGAAAAGACAATCACATTACTTTGGTCCAATAATCAATCTAATCGGCCATTCAAAACACTGTGATTTAATTTGAATGTAAATGCATACGGATATATATCTATCCCAGTCAATGAATAGTTGCAACGAGGAGAATATATAAACGTAGTTGAATGGATTGATAGGCCCGTAGATGCAGCTAGCTATGCAACTAGAGAAAGCACACGACTTCAGAAAAGAAAAGAAAATGCTATGAGTAGAAATGGCCTTGTGAATGATGATTCGAGCCTTTGAGGAGATTGGATTGAGGATTCAAGGATGAGGAAATGAGGATGGCGACTCGACGAGGAGGGAGAGCCACAGAGGCCGCACAGCCAGCCCCCAGAAGGTAGCCGCTAGGGCTCGAGCTGCTCAGTGCTCGCCTCGCCGCCACTCATCGCTGCGGCCGTGGGGCATGCTTGGCGGACAGTGGATCGATGGTGTTGCCTGCGATACCCACACGTTGCTCGATCATTTGTCTGCTGAGTGCCTACGTCTCACCGCATCAGCAGTCGCGACTTGCAACCTCACATCGTTGTCTCAATTGTCGACCTCGCAGGCGCATCAGCATCAGTTGGAAATTGGACTCACGAGTCACGACGGCTCAACACACGCTAGCGGCAAGGGAAATGACACCTTTGACCTTCTGTCCCTTTGCTCCTCTCTCACTTTGTAGGAGGCCAGGCATGCATGTGGCCAACACCGAGGTCGAGGCCACAAAAAATCGAGGGCCCTGTGCAGCCGCCACGTTTACTCATGGCCATCGACAACCCTGCTTGTCTCACAAAACTACATATTTAGTATCTATGTTATTCCAAAACTAGCTTTACCTGTTTGATGCACCAACAGCTGATGTGTGGGACCTACCTGCAGACATAGGAGGCTTGAAGATGCGCAGTTGTTGATTGCCACACTAGAACTTCTTTGAATGAAAAAGCTGGTTTTAGAGGTAGAAATATGAAGGAATACATGCATACATAGTACGATTGGAAGGTTTCCATGGAGGAACTGAAGAAAAAAGAATTAACAAGAAGGGTTCCATGCATAATTTGGGATTTTTGATGTGGCAATCAACAATGATGCATGTTGAAACTTCTTGGACTGCAGTGGTCACACATGTCAGGTGACCGTGAATCTAACGGGTAAAGTTAAAACTTGCAGTAGTTTTGTGATAATGAATATACTAAATCTATAGTTTTGTAACTCTATAGTTTTGTAACTGTAGTTCTATGATATATTATGTAGAGTGCATGTGGTTTTGTAAAATTAATTTACTCTAATTTATATATGCATTAAAATTTACTCTAATTATATTAACATATGCATGGCTGGAGCATGGAGAAAGGGTCAAAGGAAATTTCCTTGTATACAATAAATTATTATTGTTAGTTACTGATGATAACACTATCACTTGTCCCTTCTTTTAATTTTGGCTTTGTTTATCATAAAAATGCACATCTAAGCTGAGGCTGGTAATCATTAGGCTACTCTTTTTCAGATATGATTATAGAGGTTTTATATATGACATCTCTATAGGCTAATTAATAGGGTTGTAGCTAACCTAGCTAGCCTTAAAGCCATTAAGGTAGTTAGTTACAAGCGTGCACTTGCTAAAACCCAAAAATATTTCCAAGTTGGTAATTTGTTAATCATTCTTTAACATGAGTTGCATGCATCATTGTGTTTGTACTTGCTACACGAGAAAAAGCTGGTCTTGAAAGCGATCGGGAAGCTACAGGCCGGCCGCAAGCATGTACTAATTAAATCCCTACTCCATTAGAAGATCATTTTCTAAAGCAAAGCTCCAACACTTCTTGTCTCTAGAGGCTCCATCCATCGATCCAAGTAGTTTCATCTTCCTGTTGTAAGGTTTCATATAGCACTTTTAAATAATACGGAAGATGCACAAACATATCGCTATGCGCACGCACACATCCACGAGTGCATCCTATATATATCTTAGCATGCACTTAAAATATTTAATATAAACCAATGACAAACCCATAGTTAATATTAATTTTTTTTTGGAAACACGGACCACATATATAATATTTATAAACAGTAAGATTTAAATCTTATATTTACATTTACGATTACACGAGTATACCACTGATTCCTCCTCTCGTGTGTAAGCTTACTACTATACTACACTAGGACA